TATTTAAGACACGATCTTAAATATAAGAATGTACTGTAAACAAGACTTAATGCGCACTCAGTGCGCACTAGTGCAAGCTACCAAATTCGCTATGAGAAACGCACTACTTTCTGCACACTAAAGTACCGTTTTCGTACTTAAGGTTCCTGCACATTCAGAACTCAGGCTTCAATATTTCAGCAGCCACTTGAATTGGGATACTAAAAATTGCAAGCAATTGCACGATTCTGCTTGCAACTTAAATTAAAGAATGTTCAAGGTTTACGCAGTCTGCAGCTTGATGTGCACAACTCGATATACAGAACGATTAAATTATGCATCGGATGCATCGGGTTATATCTGTTGCGAACGCACCCCTTATGTTAATGTCCAGTGCTGTATGGGAATGTCTAAAATCGGAACGTAAAACGTTTTAAGGGACGTCTACATTGGAAGTAAATAGCAAGAAGTAGGAAGTAAGAGTAAGAAATTGACCAACCACAGTCGAATGTGAGAAGAATAATCAACTATGATTGGTCAATTTCTTATTCTTACTTCCTACTTCTTACTGCTTACTTCCAATGTAGACGTCCCTTTAAAGATCATCTTTAAGATGTTTTTCAGACGATTTACGTATAAATGTCTTTAAAGGTCGTTCTACATGGGTGGGACCCGATTGACCACGATACGATTGGACACAGATTGTACCCACACAGCAGGAACGTCCCAAATATATCATAAAAATATCTTGAAGATATCGCATATCCCAAATATATCTAGGATATCCCTATGATATATTTTGGACGGGAGCGGTGCACTTGGACACGGTGCATTTGGACACAGCCAATTACAGCTACGTGTGATTAGAGACATTTATAGGGTCCCTTGGAACAGCGACTTGTGATTGGCTGTGTCCAAATGCACCGTGTGATTAGAGACATTTCTAGGGTCCCTTGGAACAGCGACTTGTGATTGGCTGTGTCCAAATGCACCGTGTGATTAGAGACATTTCTAGGGTCCCTTGGAACAGCGACTTGTGATTGGCTGTGTCCAAATGCACCGTGTGATTAGAGACATTTCTAGGGTCCCTTGGAACAGCGACTTGTGATTGGGCTGTGTCCAATTGCCCCGTGTCCAACTAATATACATCCATTTTGGACACCTCTGCTGTGTGGGTAATGATTGGTTTGACCTAGTAATTCACTAGGTAATTCTTTTCATCGGTTTATTGTGTCCAATCGTACCGTGGTCAATCGGGACGCTCCCTAACGGAACAGTTACGGAAAAGAAATATAATGGGGGATAGCCAATCAGAGTAATTCCGTTTTTATTCCGTTCTGTTGTTTGATAGGTAGGTTTCACATGACACAGTAGGACTGTAGAACTTACGGAACGGAACAAAAACGGAAAACATTTTAACCTATCAATATCGAAAATTTTACAATTCTCGATGTTGATAGGTTAGAATAAGTGCTTTCCTGTTGCGTACACTGTGTTACAAAAAACAAGTTTATTGGTTGCATTATCTTACAAGACATTTTAGATAATATGTGACTAATAAACTGGTTTTGTATATGTGTGTCATTTGCTTTGTTCTTTTTAGCTGCACTGCTGAACTGGTGCGATAAATAAGAGTGAGAAAAAGTATATTTATCTCACTTTAATGGCTCCTGCCCACAGGACGCGGCAACACTTGCCGCGCGGCGGAAGTTTGTGCGACAGCCAATCAATATGTTGCTTTCCGTAATAACCTTGTAGCTCTTACGAAAAAACAACATATTGATTGGCCGTTGTGCGAACTTCCGCCGCGCGGCAAGCGTTGCCGCGTCCTGTGGGCAGGAGCCATAACTTATTGCACTAGTTCAGCAGTGCAGCTAAAAAGAACAGACCAAATGTTCTTTTTCCGTAAGAGCTAGAAGGTTATTACGGAAAGCAGCATATTGATTGGCTGTTGCGTGAACTTCCACTGCGCGGCAAGCATTACCGCGTTCTGTGTGCAAGAGCTATAAAGCGTCTTCTACAATGGCAGTAGGAGTAGTAGTAAGAAATAAGCAGTAAGTAAATAGACCAATCACAATCGATTATTTTTGAAACGTGAGAATGGAATTGGTTAATTTGCTTACTGCTTATTTCTTACTACTACTCCTACTGCCATTGTAGAAGACGCTTAACTGTTCCGTTACGTTATTTCTTTCTCCATCTGAACGTACTCTTAGACCATCTAGTTCTTTAGACCAATTACATTGGCTGCATTCAGCAGACTCAACAGTTGCACAACAGTTGAGTAATTTGTCAATGTAATTGGTCTAGATTTAGGGATCTAATAGCAAGAACCAATAATCGTTGATTGCTCACTGAGCGTTTTTTCTACTGAATGCGCCCATTGACGAATTACTCAACTGTTGTGCAACTGTTGAGTTCGCTGAACGCATCCAATTTTGTCAAATAAAAAATGTAGCAATGATATTTTAGTTATAGATATTTTTATTGTATTTATTATATACAAATCTTTAAATAAATATTTACCATTATTAAGTAAAGGTTATTATTAGAGATATTCAAATTAATCAATTATTATCGATGTTTCCAATATTTCATAGATTATAACAAATGGATACATTTTGTAATCGATTTTTTGGAAGTCAATTATTTTTTTCAACATTGTCCATCCCTACTTTTATCTGTCTTGGGTTGCGTTCGGAAACGTCACTCGAGTACCCTCTCTCTCTTTTTATCTCACTTTTGTATTTCGTTCACTCCAACGGCTATCGTCTAGTAATGTGTGTTTCCGAACGTAGCCTTAGTACTAACGATACCAAGGTTCAGTTCACCGTGAATCACGGTCGTATTAACGTTTGTGATTATAATTACTCACTGCCAGTCTAAACAATTAGTTAGTTTTTCTTCCAAGATTCTTGTCTGCGAAGAAACGAACAGCGATACTATGGCTGCATTCCGAAATTCACTGCCAGTGAAAATCTATAGTTCATGTCACGTATACTATAGAATTTCAGCACTGGCAGTGAATTTCGGAACGCAGCTTATAAAAACTAATAACATGTTCGACTGGCTCTGGGTTAACCCACTCTAAGTTATTCAGTCTACGTTTATTGATCGAACAAGTAC